ATTTTCAACTCTCTTTAGCAGGAAGTGTCCACGTTTACATGCTGAAAGGTTTAGTCTCTCGCCTCCTCTCTGAAAATATCAAACAATTAGAGATCAATGGAGATGGTTTTCCACTCAATTTTTCTTTCATTTAACATCGAGTGCCTCTTCCGCAGACACGCTGAAGCCTTTGATTCTGTGTTTGCAACACACCCGTGCCTTGTTGTATCACTCTCTTGATTATCTGGTCACTCCTGTTCGATAACAGGCTGCTAGAGATGAACATGCCCACCCTTTGAAACGGTGGTTCTCAACCTGTGGGTAGCGACCCCGGGAGTACCTGGCAACAAGCCGCCCTTTTGCAGGAATTGCCTATTACCATCAGAAAACACAGATACTTACATTGTGATTCGTAACAGTAGCAAAATAATTACAGTTTGAAGTAGCAATAAAAGTAGTTTTATGAGCCAGGCGTTGGTGGCACACGCCTTTAATCCCAGCACTAGGGAGGCAGAGGCGGGTGGGTCTCTGTGAGTTCCAGGCCAGCCTGATCTACAGAGCGAGTTCCAGGACAGCCTCCAAAACAATACAGAGAAACCCTGTCTCAAAAACCAAAATAATAATAATAATAATAATAATTTATGGTTGGGGTCACTGCAGCATGAGGAACTGTATTAAAGGGTCACAGCACTAGGGAGGTTGAGAACCATTGCTTTGAAAGGAATGTGGACTTTTAGGAAGCTTCCAAGTGCAGATGTATCCCTAGGAACCAGAGCACACAGGGCTCTGTGAGGGGGCCATCCTTCCAGTGCAAGCCGCTCTCGGTGCTCGCTGGAGAAGCTCGCTCCTGGTATGGCAGTAGGCATGGAGTCGGTCACTGTGGCCGTGGCTGACTCTCCCTCCTATCCCTTGCTCTCCACCTGGATCTCTAGCATTTCTCAACTCCTGTGCTTTCTCTCCTCATGCAGGCCTCTAGCCGTGGCTCTCCCTTTCTCTACAGCAGCTTCCTTTCCCCGTCTCTTGCCTCCTGTGTGCAGCCTTCCTCTCTTGTGTGCACACGCAGGGGCAGGGTCAAATCAGAGCAGCGAAGATGCTGCCTGCACCACGTTGGCCGAGCCGGCCCTGACAATAGGTCTGCTTTCGCACCACCCCTCCCCCACAGCGCTGAGACTGCCTACAGGGAGCCGTCTGTGACTGATCAGTCCCATGGGTGTTCTCTTGTCTCTCCTTTCACTTCTGTGGGATCCGACTTGGGTGCGGGCACCGATTGAGGTTCCTCACATATCAGGTGGAGGAAAGTTTACTCCCGATTAAGCAATGTTGGGAGGTGAGGCTTACTTGATTAGCTCATGAGGGCTGTACCCTCAAGAACAGACCACTGCCATTATCTTGAGTGAGGGTTTGCTATAAAAAGACGTCGGTCCCAACTTGCTCTTTGGATGACACAGCAAATGGACCCTCAGCAGATCCGAGGACTTTAGTTTGGGAGTTCCTTAGACTCTAGAACTTTGAGTAGTTTCTTTCCTTTATAGGTTATGTAGATGATGGTGTTGTTAAAATGTCTAGGTTCCCGGTTAGGGAACCAATGTTATTGAAATGTTTAGGTTTATCCAGTAACAAGACACAGACTGCGACTCAACGATCCCACGTGTAGTTTATTGGTAGACAGGGCAGGAAAGGGGGGTGAGAGGTAACTATCCAGAGCAGAGCAGAGCAGAGAGAGAGAGAGAGAGAGAGAGAGAGAGAGAGAGAGAGAGAGAGGGAGGGAGGGAGGGAGGGAGGGAGGGAGGGAGGGAGGGAGGGAGGGAGGGAGGGAGGGAGGGAGAGAGAGAGAGAGAGAGAGAGAGAGAGAGAGAGAGAGAGAGAGAGAGAGAGAGAAGGAGATGGAGAGTAAGAGAGTAAAAGAGTAAGAAAGTAAGAGAGTGTAAGCAGGCAGGGGTCAGTCCTTTAAAGGGGTCTTTGCATCTGCGTGGTTCTCGCAGAACCCTGGGCTGGCCAGAGTGCTGCCTGAGTGCATCCTGCCAGGTAACAGGGCAGGCCAGTGTAATGCCTGAACCTTTCAGATGGTACCGTGTCACAGTGCACAAAAGAGGACCAAGTAGGTTGTTGTCAATGGAAACGCAAGTTGGTATCCGGGCTTCCAAAACTAAAGTTTCACAAGCCTTTGTTAAGCATAGATGAAATGGCTTTATCTAAGAACCCAAGTGACTAGACCCCTAACATTGTATGAAAGGCACTCCCGAGAAGCCACCGAGTTTCTGTGACTTCCCATAGGCCTTTTGGGTGTAGCCCATCTCATCTCAGCCACACTCTGAGGGTAGACTCACACCCAACCGTGTGTGCGCGTGCGTGTGTGTGTGCGTGCGCGCGTGCGTGTGTGTGTGTATGTGTTCTTCACTCTGCGGGTGTATTTGCACAACTCTGAGCAGAGACATGCTTTGCTGAGCCCCATCCTGCACCAGGATGCCTGCACCGTGCTTCCTGCTGAGTAATAGCAATCACTCCTCCTTAGCGGACACAGTCATGGACTTCTGTGTCAGCTTCAGAGGGGATTTTAGACTCCTGTTAGGATAAAGAATTTGCTAAGGGTGCCTGAGAAGCGCTCGTTTTTATATTAAAAACACATACAAGCCCATTAAACAGCGATAACTAACTGCAGTTAGCTCCCCAGAGCCCAATCTTGTCTTTGCAGTAGCTGCTCTGTTGGCTGATCCAGCGAGTTTGTCCTGGCATCCAACTTTCTCACTGTCCAAAGAAGGGAGCTGGAATACTGATCTTGGGGGTGACGAAGCAAATATTCCATGGAGGGTAGTGGTTCTCCACCTTCCTAATGTTGTGACCCTTTAGTACAGTTCCTCATGTTGTGGTGACCCCAACCATAACATTATTTCATTGCTACTTCATAACTGTAATTTTGATACAATTTTGAATCACAATGTAAATATCCGATATGCAGAATATCTACTACTGTGTGAGGGGGGGAGGGGTGGAGAGGGGGGGAGGGGGGAGGGGGGGAGGCCTATGTGAGGGGTGCTGAGGTGGCAGGTAGTAAGAGGGATGACGGTGGTTTCCAGAGGTCTGGGACAGTTAGTACGAAAGCAAGTGTGGGGAGCACGGGTGACCTGCTGGTTGTGAACTGTTGGCCTCCAAAATCCCCTGTAACCCAAATGTCTCCAAGCTTGGTAAAGTCTGTGGGCAAAGTCTGACCTCTTCAAACCTCTGAGAGGCCTGGTCTCAGGAAGCCTGTAGATCTGAGGCCTGTCCTCCAGAGGTGTGTAGGGCTGAGGCCTGTCCTTGGGAGGTATGTAGGGCTGAGGCCTGGCCCCCTGAAGTCATGTGGAGTTTGGGGAAGTTGCATTGGTGATGGGGAAATCCTGTGTATATATCAATAAAGCACTGTTGGCCAATAGGAAAGCAAGATAGGTGGGACTAGGAGTTGAGGAGAATTCTGGGAAAGAGAGGCATGGCAGAGACATCATGTAGCCTCCATAGAAGTAACAGGTCCAGACCTTTTCTCCGGTAAGAGAAATACTTAGATTAACAATTATGGGTTAGCCAGTAAGAAACAAGCAAACGGCCAACAGCTTAATAATTAATATAGCCTCCTGTGTGTTATTTGGGGACTGCAACTGTGGCAGAGCCCAAGTGGCTGGCGGGGGAAAACCAAAGTGGCTAGCGGAGAAAAACTACACCCTACACATTGGCCTCCACAGAGCATAGCTTCTGTCTTCAGTGTGGCCTCCGTGGCTTGGATGGTAGGAAGCACGGAAGGCCAGACCACTTCAGAGGTTGCTGAGATGAATTCAGAGAGAAGAGGTCAGGAGCTCTGGAAACTGGAGAAGATGGGACCTGGTCACTCGGTACCTGGTAAGACATTTGTGTCGATGGAGAGCAAGGAGCCCAGGAAAGCAGGGGTCCAGACTCACAGTGACAGATGGAAGTTGGCGTGGAACTGACCTCTCAGGTGGTCGACACAAAAAGTGTTAAGATGTCCTTCATGTCCACACTCTCCAAGTGCACTGTGTCTGTCCACTTTTTCTTCTCCAAATGATGTTAGTCTGTGACACTTCCTGTTTTCACCTTATCTCTGCCTGTCTAAGATTAAATGCCCTCCCTCTCTTCCTCCCTCTCTCCCTTTCTTCCTTCTTTCCCTCCCTCCAGAGCTTATTATATAGTCCTGCCTGGCCTGGATCTTGGGGCAATCCTGCCTCTGCCTCCTGAGCGCTGGGGTTACAGGCATGCAATGCCACACCACTAGGCTACCAAACTTTTTACAAAATCTGCTTACTACCTGATGACAAGATCTGTCCTCCAGGAAAACAAAGTCACAGGACCTAGAACATCTCACTGAGGATCAAGAGGTTCTTCTATCATGATGGGGACACCCAGCCACGGTGTTTTATTCCCGTGGCTGACTCTGTTCCCAAGTCATCTTCATACAGCTAGTCCTCCGGTTCTTTCTCTTCTGTTCTTAGGTAGCTATTGTGCCTTATCCATATTCAAAATCTTCACTTAAACTAATAAATTTATTTCATAACTCATAACAGGTTTTTAATCAGTGAGTTCTACTCACCCTTGCTGAGGTAATTCCCAGGGGGTCTGGAAGAGCAAGGCTGGAACTCCACACAGCCCCTAGAGTGCAGAGAAGCACAGCCTCTGCATTCATTGGATATCATAAGGGCCTACGTCTGGGGCAACTCCTTCTGCCATGATCAGAACAAAACTGAACATTTCCAGCAGGGTGAGAGTCCACAGATTGCAAAGACACCAAGGTTGTGGCCCAAGAAAAATCTGGTGTCTGGCACAGGTAAGGAATCAAAATGGCTAAACCCAACCTTTGCCAGCTTCCGGGGAAGTCAGACCCACAATTCCACGTGAGTGCCTTTTATGTCTCTCATGTCACAGTGTCTATTCAAGGTGTGGCCAGTGTCCTTTTGCCTGTGGAAACTGGGACACTCCTAGTCCTTTCCTGGGGTATTGTGATATCACAAAGGTCACCTTGTAGCCCGAGGGGCAGAATACCTGTGGCACCTGGCCTGGAAACTGACCTTGGAAAGCACTAGAAAGGAGGGAACCACTCCCAGCTTGGTGGAGAAGCATAATCCTCTCACTTCTTCTGTTTACTTATTATTGTGCATGTATGTACACAGTATGTCTCTGTATGTGTGTGTGTGTGTGTGTGTGTGTGTAAGTGTCACTGTGAGTCACTTCTTCTATTGTGGGTTTCAGGGCTCAATCTTAGGTCATCTGCCTTGTGAGGCAAGTGTTTTTACCTGTCGAGCTGCCTCACCAGCCCGGCATGTCCACTTCTGAAGTCCAAGCAGTGATGCTTATGTATATACATATTGTGCGGGACAGTTTTATGACAGCTTGACACAAGTTAACGTTATCTGAAGGGAGGGAACTTCAACTGAGAAAATACCTTCACAAGATCCAGCTGTAGGACACTCTCTTAATTAGTGATTGGTGGGGGAGGTCCCAGACCATTGTGGGTGGGGCCATCCCTGGGCTGGTGGTCCTGGGTTCTATAAGAAAACAGGATAAGCAAACCATGAGGAGCAAGCCAGTAAGCAGCATCCCTCCATGACATCTTCATCAGCTCCTCCCTCCAGGTTCCTGCCCTGTTTGAGTTCCTGTCCTGATTTCCTTTGATGATGAACAGTGCTGTGGAAGTGTAAGCCAAATAAACCCTTTCCTCCCCAACTTGCTTTTTGGCCATGGTGTTTCACTGCAGAATAGAAACCCTAACTTAAGATATGTATGCATTTGGTTTTAAAATCATGTATTACTATTGCAGGTAAGCGTGTGCTCGATGTGGAGGTAGACTTGTGTTACAGTGCACACATGGAGGCCAGAGGACACTCTGAAGAACTGGTTCTCTCCATTTTTTATGGGGTCCCCGGCATTAATCTCAGGTAATGAATCTTGGTGGCAAGCAGCTTCACCTACTGAGCCATTTTGCCAATCCATGCCTTTTGTTTTTAGAAACACTGTCTCACACTGTAGCCCACGCTGTCCTAGAACTCATTATGTCTCAAACTCTCATCTGTCCTCCTGCCTCAGACTCCTTAATGGAGTGAGAGTGTGAGCCACCACACCTGGCTTTAACAGCTGATTTTACATTAATTAATCAAAATCCAGATTGTTCTCATGAAGTTGCAAGTTGGTTTATTTTTTTTAACCACAGGGAATGCTGTACTGAAGTTTGGCATTGCTTTAGCTGGCACATGCCACCCTAACAGCCCGACGCGCATACGTTTCCTGTTCCAGCTTGTAGACACTGTCCCGATTTGAGGCTGGTAGGCATCATCTGCCTCTTCTGTGGCTCCATGTGAGTTACATGGACATATATGGACATACATGGACCTTGTTGTCACGAGGATCATTGGTGGCTTCCTGTGCTTGTTTCCCATCTGAAGGCAGATGTGAGGTTAATGCCACTGTCAACTTGATAGCACCTAGAATCACCAAAGATACAAACCTCTGGGCATATTTGTGAGGGACGGCCTACCCTGTGTGTGGATATATTTGTGTGGCAAACTTTCCTTGGGGAGATGTAACACACACACCTACTCACCCCAGATAGGTACCCCTTGACAGATTAAAGTACAGATAACACCAAAATCCAATTTGGTGATGCAATGTGTTTTATTGGGGGTTACTTACGGGAATATAGGTGAGGGGTTACTTAAAGTAACAGAAACACAGCCGCATCACTGAAGCCTACCCCAGCATGGGTGACAACTCACAAAGCTGGGAACTTGGAGTACATTGCACAGCCTTCAGGAAGCTCAAGAGGTTGAAGAGTGTCCATCCTTTCTAGGTGCCTCTATTGATCTAAATCTTCTCTGACAGCTGAGCTGATTTGTTAGTCTTCGAAGAAGCTGGTTCAGTCCCACAGTCTTCTGTGCAGCTCAGCTTCACTTCCTCTGACAGGGACTCTAGGTTTTTATTGTTTACTATGGCAGGGAGGAGCCTAGTGAATCTGGTCAGTTTCAGGGACTTCCTGAAGCTTTTTTAGTTGTTTACCTGCCTGTTTAATCGACTTTCCTGCAGGACAGAAAGTTTCAATCTGGGAGGAAACTGTTATACGAAAGGATGGCATCACTCCATGGGCTAGGAGAAATGAGTTCAGCACCAGCGTCTATGGCTCTACTTCCAGGCTATGGATGTGATGTGACCAGCTGTCTCCTGCCATCTGCCTTTTCTGCCATGATGTGCTATACACTCCAACTAGAAGCCAGCATAAACCCTCCCCTCCTTAAATTGCCTTTGTCAGAGTTATGGGAAGAGTGATAACATAGCAGCCTTCCCCTCTGTCCAAAACACATAACAATGGTCTAAGCTAGAAGCACTCCCTCAAAAAAACATTTATTTTTACTGAAATTATGCTTTTTCTCATTTCTTCCATCAAGCAAACTTTCATCATCTCTCACTAACTACATGATTTTGTTGCCCTAGTGGTATTCTACCCATGCAAGTTAACTAAGGAAGTGTTACTGCAGAAAGGGTCTATATCTCTACCCAGGTTTAATTAAAGTCTTTGTTGTTTGAAATGCATTCACTGGAGGGAGGATCAGTGGTTAAGAGCACTGACTATTCTGGAGGACTGGTGTCTTGCTCCCAGCATCCATGTGGCCAAGCTGTCTGTAACTCTAAATCCCGGGGAATCTGACACCTTCTAGCCTTTGCAGTTACCAGGCATGCATGTGATATACAGACACACATGCAGACAAAACACTCCCACACGTTAAATAAACACAGACAGAACTTCTAAGTGACATTCACTCATTATCTTCAGTTTCCCTAAATAGCTTGCTTCACACCTTGTTTTTTCTTAAATTCATACATGGATGTCATTCATATAAGCGTTGAACAATGGGAGTTGCCTTCATCAAGATTAATTTGTCTCTGACCAAACTCAAGCTACTCTAGAAGAAAGGGAATTGCTGGTTTGAACCAGAATGCTGCCATTTAAGGGCTGAGCATGTGGTGTCCTGTAGAGAAAGTGCACCTATGGGAGATAGATTGTGTTGGAGAGTCCTTGCTATGCCTATGCATGTACTGAGGGGAGGGGCAGAGAGAGTGAGTGAAAGGGAGGATGAGGGTGTGAGTCAGGGGACTGTCCTCTTGTCTGTCTGTGGGGCTGGAGGGTCTTCAGTGCCAAGGGCTTGCCCACAGGCTGGAGACCTACATAGGGGACAGCTGGCGCTCCAGTCAAGAGTCTGCACCTCACAGGGCAGATGGGAAAGAGAGGCGGGGTCCCCAGCTAAAGCTCCCAGGAGTCTATTTTCACTGGAGGTGCAAGGTCTTTTCTCTGATGGCCTTCAGGTGATTGGACGGCTCCCACACACATTTCAGAGGACAATCTGTTTTACCGAAGTTCGCTGATCTAAGTGCCAATTTCAAGTGAAAGAAAAAAAATTATCCACAGTAGCACGTGTCGTGTTTAATAGAATAACTTGGTAACCAGCCACCCTGCCCCCCAGCCACATGCTCGCCTAAATTAAAAAACAATCTTGCTGTGTAGCCCATGATGACCTGAATTCTCAATTCTCCTGCCTCTGCCTTCATGTGATATGTGTCTCCACACCTGGAAAGGGGACGAATCAACACAAATTCTGAAAGCAGCTTTTTTAAAAACTTGGCCACACTTCTAGATACTCAGTGGATTTAAAGGGGCAGCCTCCTCACAAGGCAGCCCAGTCGTGGAAACCAAGCATGTAGCAAGTATGTAGCCGTATGTGCACACAGTGGCTTAGCCTGGCCCATTCTGACTTTGAGACATTTTAGAATGCCCTGAGCACTAAAATGCACACTCACTGTTGTGTCTTAGCTGTGTCCTGACACAAGCGTTTTAGACACACAGAAACTGAGTGATGGGTAATTGCCATTGTAGTGCCTTCCCCTAGCCCTGGGCTCTCCACATCGAGCCTGGGTCTGGGGAGATGACTGGGTGAATGAAAATATTTCCTGTAAGAAGAGGGGGGCTGAGTTCATGTCTCCAGAATCCATATAAGCAGCTGGGCATGGTCACATGGGCCAGTAACTCCAGTGCTGAAAGAGGAGAGTATCACAAGGGGCTTGTTGGACAACCAGCCCAGCCAAACAGAAAAAGAGCACTAGGCACAGTGAGAGACCCTGTTTCAAAGGAATAAGGTGAAGGGTCATATAGCAGGATGACCCTCAGATGCCCGCATGCATGCACACACACATATTTGTTAACCCATATTCTTATAATACACACTTAAAAAACAAAAACCATCAGAGCTAGGGCAGGGACGCATCAGAACACTTGCCTAGCTGGAATAAGGCCATGGGTTCCATTCACAACACAGAAGAAAATCAGAGCTAATTTGCTATCCCCCAGGAGACTGCTTTCCGAGAGAGCTACCCAAACCCTCAACTACCCCAAACCAAAAGATCTTCCAGCTCTAACCCAAATGCTGTGTTTTAAAATGGTGCCAAGGTATTAACACCAGTAAATTCTATAAACATGCTGGACTCTTAAATTAGTTCCACAAGACTTTGACCCCTTAGGGAGTGAGTTCTGGTCTGGGGACTCCTGCACAAACGAACCCAGGCTTACCGAAGGGAGTGTGGGTCCAAATACCTTGCCCGTTAAGAAAGCTCTACAGAGAGCCGGGCGTTGGTGGCACACGCCTTTAATCCCAGCACTCGGGAGGCAGAGGCAGGCGGATCTCTGTGAGTTCGAGGCCAGCCTGGTTTACAGAGGGAGTTCCAGGACAGCCTCCAAAGCCACAGAGAAACCCTGTCTTGAAAAAAAACAAAACAAAACAAAAAAAAGAAAGCTCTACAGAGAGGGATTCTCACCGGGCCTAGACAGCACCTGGGTTTATGAAAGAGACCGGCTACCTTCTCAGAGTTCAGTCCACACGCATCCTTGCCCATCAAGGTAAGAGGGTGGCCCAGGCAACACTTGAATGGGAAGCTGCAAGCAGGCTTGGCTCCTCTCAGGACTCTCTGGAAGTCTCAGAGCCATTGGCAGTGGACACAGATCTCAAGGGGGTGCTGTTGGGGATGCCTTGGGGCCAGGCAGTGTGGGGAAATAACCATCTGGCAGTAAGATGTGTGCTCACCTCCGACGGACTTGGGACATTTACAAGGCCAGGCCTGGGCCGGGCAACTACTTGGGATCCGTCACTGAGTTACAGTGAGGCAGCGTCCCATTTTCCCCTCTGCTCTTAGAAGTGATGTCAAGCTCTATGCGTCTATGCAGTTAAATTTTTTCCAGTCAAAACTGACTGAATAAACTCTGAAATCTGTAGGATTTACCTAAACTGTGAGTGGCTGTGTCTTCATCTCCATAGCTATCAGGGTTCTGGGCAGCTTCCTCTCCCAGGATTTCCCTGTTCTACCCATGAGCACCCACAACTTCCTTGGCTTGAGCCCACCAGATTCTAGATCCCAAAGACAAATTTGTTTTCAGCTAATTACGAGTTTAATGACACAAAACACAGCTCCCACCTTAAAAAAAAAAAGGTAGTTTATTCTGAGTCAATTAGGAGTGATCTTTGTGTGGAGAAAGGATCATCCAGGTGGTTGCTAAATAGCTTGTCCTACTGCAGACGTGTTTACAGGAGCTTTTATATTTGCAGACCAAAAGACAGCCACGAATCGCAACTTTTAACGAATGTGTTGGTGGGAGCATCAGTCAGGAGGGTCACAGTGAAGCTCAGGAATCTCTGCTAAAGGTCCCAGAAGCTACCTGATGGCATTCTTAGCATTTGGGTTGGTGGAAGTGAGTGTTGAGTTAATACATTCCAAAGGTCTTACCTGATTAGTCAAAAGGATGTTAGGTCAGACACAGAAGCCGACAATGAAAGGCTACCAAGGAGACTAAAGATAGTCTGAGATACTTCAGCTCTTGATATGCAACATTCCAACTTTCCAAACCATGACGTTCTAGTTAATCAGTCTTGTAGACTCTTTAACATAGGTGTGGCTTGGTGGGAGTACTTCAGGTTGTGTGTGGATACAGGGGAGTGGAGGAAATAGAATGGAGAGTTATCATTCCTCACAAGCACGTGACACCATAGTTTAGACCAGGTGACAGGAGGAAGTCCCCCCATCCCCACGCAAAGCAATTAGAGAACAAAGTAAGAGATAATAATTACATGCAAAATCATGTGGCATAGGTGAGACACAATTCAAGAAATTGAAAAGAAAGGGAACAGAGTCCGGGCTTAATAACTTCATTATCACCTTATAGATCCATTTTAAAAGGCAAACAATAAATTGGCAAGAAACATTCCTTGGAGGGTCCTGCAGAGGGGTTCTTTGAGGGTGGAGAACCGACTGTGAGCAGTTACACGCACAGTCACTGCTAATTTGCGTCAGATCCCAGCTCCAGGAAAATAAACACCTTCTGTCACTCGCTGCACACTCTTGCATGCTGCAGTTGAAGACCCTGGGCTCGGGTGAGCATCTGGGAGGTGTTCCGCTGTCTCCAGAGGCCTCAGCCTGCCTGTCTTTCATTGGCTCTTCAGGCGTACTAACGCCTCTCTAACGGTATTAAAAGAAATCTGTTGAGCCTCTTAGGAAGCTGCACAACCAGTCTTAAAATAGCTGCACTTCTGGCCCGCTTCCTCACAAGGCGATTCCTAACCCGCTGTTGCTCAGAAGTCCAGGCAGGCTCCCAGGCAGGGCTGGCCCTGCAGAATTCCCCTGTGCCAGAGGAAAAGGGGCCAGGACAACCCAGGCATTGACATCACTGTGGTGAAGAGCAGAGAGCAGCAGCAAGAAGCCTCCAGGCCACTGCATGGTTCTTAGCTCTGGGAATAGGGGCCTGGGGCCAGCATTGGACGAGCACTGCAAGGCAGACTTCCAGGATAGACATCCTTCCTCCAGTGGACCTATTCCTATGTCAGCACTTCTCTGTGCTGATCCCCAAATTTAGAAGGTTTCAGTAAGTACATGCTTGACTTCATTGCCCAATCTCATGTATGAGCATGCATGTGTGTGTGCATGTATGTGTATGTATGTGTGTGTGTGTGTGTGTGTATGAGAGAGAGAGAGAGAGAGAGAGAGAGAGAGAGAGAGAGAGAGAGAGAGAGACAGTGAGGAACAGAAATAGATGTTAGATGTTTTTCTCAGCAGCTCTCCACTGTGATTTTTGGGGTGACAGGGTCTCACTGAAACGGGAGCTTGCTAGTTCAGTGACACTGTGGATCCTTCTGTCTCCACCTCCCCAGTTCTGGGATTGCAAGCCTGTGCCATAGCACCCAGATTTATTTTAAAGTGCCGTAATAGTTTCTTTTTTTTTTGTTATTGTGATAAAAATCAACTTAAAGGAGAAAGGTTTCTTTGGCTCACAATCCTAGGTTGAAGAGCGTCATGGTAGGGAGGTCCCGGCAGTGGGAGCT